AATGATATAATATTGAAATGTGTGATAAATTATTTCTTTCATAAAAACATATACAAATATGTATTTATTTATTTAAAATGTACGAGTATATTTTTAGAACGGAATACACGAGTATAACTTTCCTTCACAAATTTTTCTATTAATGTTGTTTTTAGAGCGCCTTATAAGTTCGTGTTTTACTTATCGATAGTGACTGACTACCGTGTACTGGTGTTTGCTTAACGATAGTTCGATCAGAATGTTATGGGCTTGTGACTAACACTTGTTGCCGATGTCAAATAGTAGTTGTTTTGTAATGGTTTTGTTAATTTTCATTTTTTCTAAGTACATTACTTAAGTTGTTTTGATTTTTATCGTGAAGTTTTTATCGTGTCAGTATTAGAACGGCAATAGTTGGATAAAGTACTTTTGTGTTTGATTTGAAGTGTAAGATAATTAAGCTCCTCAAGTGAACTTACATATTTAAAAATGTTAAAAGTGAAAGTGTTAAACTGAAGACCTCGTGAGAAATATTTTGTGCCTGTACTTTGTAGAGATAAAATTACTAAAATGTACTTATTAGAAATTTTCTGATAGTAACTTCTTAAAATTTAAAAACTTGTGGCATTAGTTTTGTACATATCAAAAATAAGTTAATATGATAAATAAAATTATGTGAAAAATAAACATATGCATATAAATATTTATCAATATTAAAATAGAAAATAATCTTAGAAAACTAACTTATAAACGGACACATATATAAATATATAATATAAAAATTTCATTAAATTAAAAAGTAACTAATTAAATTTATATTAAATAAATAACAAAAAATAAAAACAAATCGTACAGTACGATATGTTTAATATAATTTCTTCTTTCATGACATTGACCAATATTCATTAGGACATTATTTATTAGTGAACTAAAATAAGCATAAATGCATAAAACACAAATTTACTGTGCTGTTGCGTACAGTTGTTGCATATAGTCAAATTAATTTTTTACAAAGTTTATATACACTACGATCGAGTAATCGTTATATATAAAGAAATAACATTTGTGTAATATCTTTGATGTTTAGATTGTTACATTATAATATATAATAAAAATGGTATTAATATTGTTTTCCTTTTTAAAGGATACTACATTTCATTTAGTGTTCTGTACATGTACAGTACGTTTCAATAGTGTACTGCTTATTTTCGTTCACGAATAAATAATATCCCAAAGGAATATTGGTCAATGTTATGGAAGAAGAATATAGTATAAAATATATTTAATCATTTTAAAAATAGATTAGATTATATTTAGTTATGCTTTGTGTAATTACAACACATAAAATGGGGCACACATAGCTTCAACTCGATTGTATTGATAATAATAATTTATTTTATTTTTACGTTTTGACATTGAAAATATTTTGTGGTGGGTTTTTTATAGTAAATATTTCTTGTTTTGGAAATTGTTTGTTACAATATCATTTTTATTTTGTTTTTAATATAAGAAATGTTTCCATTGTGTCTGTTTCCTATTTTTGTCGTGTTTTTAGTGCTGTTTGTTGGCACTTTATTTTATACGTTTTTTTTAAAACATCTTTATTGGATATGAATATGTTAGTACAATCTTAACTATTTGTTAATTTATTATTATTGTTGAATTGCACTTAATTATTTGTTGCAATTTTTATTTTTCTTTCGTTGTTTTGGCTCTTTCTAATTTTTACCGTGTTTTTAGTGCTGTTAGTTTCTATTATGTTACATTTATGTTACTGTTAGCTGAAAATGATTAATATTTACTTATTTTAATGTATATATTTAAGTTAAGTTGGGCATTGACTACTTGCATGAAGCAAGTGAAGAGTTTACCTTTTAATTGATATGATATATAGGTTGATATTTTCAATGTCTAATTTAGTTACGTTAGTATGTAAATGATATTCTGAATTTTTTTTTTTTGACTACATGTTTTTCCACTGGAAATGTTTATAACATATATATCTGTGTTATTTTATAACATAGATATTTATAATTTATGTCTTGTTTTTTTTTTCTTTTATTAAGTACATTTTTATTTAATATGGTTTAGTATAATTAGTAAGCACTCTGACGGACTTTTTATTTTTTTCAGTTTTCTTTTTTTTTCATACAGTGCTGTTAAGCCTTTTTTTTAAATTGCAGAGAAAACATTTTTAAATGGATCGTCTTGAAAAAAAAAATATTGACTAGTATTATTTACTTTTAATAAATAAATTTGATTTATTAAACGTAAATAAAAATTCCATATTTCTTAATTTCTCGAATAAACGATGTTGAGGATTGTTTTATTATTTGAATGAATGCATTCGTGTGAGCTCCCATATAAATATAAATAAATATTAATTTTTATTTTAATATTTTTTTAAAAATTACTTTATTTATAAAAATTATTATTTTGAAAAATGTTTATATCTTACCGAAAGATGATCCATTCTTTTCTTTGATCCATTTGGTTCTTGCTTTTGAAGAAGAGCAAAACCAAATCTATTTTGTTCTAAGTTCTAAATTATTTCCTTATGAAATAATATATATAAGCGATATTTATATTTGATCTGTAGTCTATGCATCCTATTCAACTTATATGTAAGAATTTATGTAAAAATGTTAAACATGGTTTCATTATATCAGATGCAAGTTTGTTATAATAGAGTTTCCACATTTTTATTATTGTTTATAAATATTATTATTAGTACACTCAAAATCGTTTGTATGCTTATTAATACCACATTGTTTTAGTAGATTAAGGGGATTTCTTATTTCTTTTCTCTCAAGAATTTTGGAGATTTGAAAATTATTTTTTCTGCAGAATTCTTTTGCTGCTGTGCAAATTTGCTGTAAACATTCCATATCTTTGATATTATTTCTCTAATTTTTTTTGTTTTTGACTTATTTTTCAATATACGACGACTCATATATTGCTATATGTATATGATAATATTACACTTTTGTTAACAACTCAATTTAATAGATTCCAATATGTTTTATTTAAAATGGTGATGCGATGGATTTTTAAAAGTGATATACATGGACGTATACAGAGAATCATTTAAAGGGGGAATTTTTAAAAAAAACTAGCGTAAAATGATTCGATATATTTCAGGGGGTTTCGATCTTCCTTTTTTTACATTACTGGTATTACATTGTTACATACAACAACATTGAACTTATGTTGACAAACCATTTGAACATGGGTTATACTTTAGTGATTGATTTTTAAATAATATTAATAGCAGTTTAAGTTAGATAATGTTCAAAACGCTGTCAACAAATACTTGGTATTATTAACTAGTTTTTCAATTTGAACAAATAACATATATATTTAATTTAAATGTTTTGTTGTAATTCCAAGTGTCAGTCGATCAAATGGATGTATCGGTAAAACCCACGATTAATTACGATTTTTTACATTTTAATTTCGAAAAGTTTTTATAATACTCATCTACTACATTTAGAAAATTTTAATAATTTTATTATATAATTATATAACTCTTTTATATATATAATTACATAAGTGTAGTACCCGAATCGAATGTTGGTTCATCATTTTTTCCACTCACCTAAAAATGTTTGATAAAAATTTTATCAAATCCAGTTAGCTCATTTCTATGTGAATTTGAAACAAATAAATAGATATACAAAATCTCTTCATATATAGATAGATAGATACATGTTTATTAAGTGAAAAATAAAAATGAATAATTAATAGTAACCTTGAATTCCGATAATTTTAGTTATTGTAATTATATATTTTATTACATTATTATATTATTAATATAGTATTTGTAGCTTTAAAGTATCACAAATTCAACAAAAGTAGATAATGTTTTTATTATTCATATTTCAGTTAAATAAAATATTTATGTAAATTATAAATCAAAGGGGACTTTTGAGAGTGTATTGAAGTCAAAGATGCACAGCGTGTGTTTAGTATATGCATATTTAAAATACCCACATTGTTAGATGTTTATTGTAATTAATTAAAATTTATATTTAAACTGTTCAATAAATTTGGTGTTGATAGTCTTTCTGGTTAGCTAAGAAACATAGCAAAGTTGTCAAAACAATATCGCAAAAACAAGTTTCTCTACAAAAGAATTGCTTTGAAAAAAGAAATGGACAACTTCAAAAATTAATTTTCAATTCGTTGAACTTGTGTTTCCAAATAAAGCTGTAGTTTATAAGCTCGTTCTAATTTAAAGCATGGCTAATGCTTTGGTTAGTGTCACTAATTAATTAAAAAAGTGACAAAAACAGCTTTGGCTATTTGTGGAAAAACATGATTAGTCCTCGTTTCTAATTTGACAGGCACGAGTTCTAAGCCTGGCATTTGCAGTCCAAATAAATTCTATATGGACTATAAATCAATTAAAAAGAAATTCGAATATTTCCTAAGACCACAGTTGTAGAGTACTTTGCAATACTCGAAACAGCGTTGTATGGTCAGCCAAATTGCAATAAATTAACTAAATTTTTGTGTTTGTCGATTCTTTCTTTACTATTCGGATCCTTCTCACTTTTAAAAAGTTTCATTTTGTCATAAAAACGCCTCACTCTCAACAAGAAAATATTAACATCAAGTTTAATTAATTTTTTAATTTTAATTTTATTCATAAAACCATATTTTTGTCACATTTATAAATAATTTTTAATGAAAAAATATGCCGTACGTGTAATTAAAAATATTTATTTTAAATTTCAATAAATAATAAAACTGTTTAATTCGAAACATGTACGTTATTTTATCCTTAAAATGGCAGTGATTTACTTACGGCGAGTTTGTTAGTCGCGGCGAATAATCCACACAATTGGACGCTATGTCCGTGTGCCCTGCAGAACATGATCTAATACATTTCACATCGTCGTTAAAACTTTTAAATTAAATTAAAAATGAAAAACATTTCTTATTGATTTGTTATGAGAAAAGCTAAAATTTTACTTATTATAGTTTTTTGCAGCTGTCAATTTTTAAAATTTATTAAAATGAACTAATTGAAATGTGAATTTTAAGTATGAAGAAAAAATTTGTACGGTTTATTAATGTAATTATGGCTTTGCTGTTTCTATTTGTAATAAGTTTTTTACTTATGAATGCTCAAGGTCGTTACTTCAATAATACAGGTAAGTCACTTTATGTTTTTTTTCTAAATTGTGCTGAAAAGTATAATATTTTTAATGAAAGTGTTGTGAAGACTTCGTCGTTTTCGATTCCCCAATATTTTTAATATTAAAGACGTTTTTTTTTTGATATAACATCGCTTATCGTTTTTATATATATTTAATTTCATATCGTATATATATATATATATTCATAAATATTTATTTTATTATATATAATTCTATTCTTTGTTAAATTGTGTTTAAAAATAACAGCTTGGATAATTGTTTTTAATACATTTTTATTTAAAATTTTAAATATATAAATATTACATTTATTTTAATTGTTACTATTAAACCAGCATATGTTTTTATTTCAATTTTAAAATTTTTTTCTAATATTCAAAAATATTCTAAAAATATAATCCAAGTAAAAACCACACCCAAAATGACTTTCAAACTTGTGTCTGCTGTTTTTAGTGCTTGATCCTTAGACGTCTCTTGATTCGCTCCTTTTTAAATTTTGTTGCAAAATTCTTATTCAAAAGTTAAATTTTAATTTATTGAAATATAAAATATTTTTAAGTAATATAATGTGATTGTCCTAATATAATTAAGTACACTATTTTTGTCCACTAAAATCTTCAATAGATAGAAATTTGAATAAAAATAAGTTTTAACTAGGAATAAAGGTTGTAGGTAAGCATAAATTGACTTCTCTACTAAAGATCGGATTGGGATTGTTACATTAGCTACTGATAATAAATGGTATATATATATCAAAACAGAACAAATATCGAAAATATATCAGTATATAAACCTAAATCCAATAAATGTATGGATAGTTATATATTTTTTCATACGCTTTATGAAATGCTTTATAACCGAAAATTTAGTGAAATTACCGCGTGTATTTAAACTAAGTAATATTAATAAATAAGATTTATATAAGTTTTTTTTATTTGTTTGAACATATATATCTCTTGTAAAATATTATCAGATCTTTCGGTGTATGAAGAAATTTTAGATACACTCGGTCGCTTTTATATGACGAAATTTTGAATAAAGGTAACCTATATAGTTTGGGATTCATGAATACCAACCCACTAACATTCTCACAAATAAAAATATAGACCACCACTTTGTAATAGATACAATAGATTCTTTGCAATTGAATGTTTTTATATAAGCTTTGATTTTGCTTTTCAAAACCCCTACTAAAATGTGTCTTTGTATACGCCAACGACTATACTGGTCTGAATAATTTGAAAGATTGGTTTAATATCTAATGCTTTTCTAAAGATTATCCTTAGTAGTTCTTTCTTTTTAGTGGTTCTTTCTTTCTTTTCTTTTTAGTTGGCGACTTATTCATAAAATAATAATATAATTTATTTTTATTTATTTTTAATTTTTTTATGTTATTAAGTTTTTTATATTCCATATATTATTATTTATTATATAGAAAAAACTGAGTTAATACAGCAGCGCGTTGGCTATGACATAAGACTGCAATGTGATCTTAAGGGATTACTAGATGATGCCAAACTTGAAACTATCAAAGTTCATTGGTTTTTCAAGGCATGTATTATCAATTCAAAAAAAACAAATAAATATATCTAAAAATTTGTCTTCCTTAACAGCACTGTACTGAAGACTCTGATCGTAAAAATAACTGTAATCAATTTTATGATGACAATTGGACCGAGCTGCCCTGTAAAGAAACATTTTGCAAACCTGATCTATTATTGCGAAATTTAACAGAAAAGTATTCAGGATTGTACAAATGTGCTGTCTACCCTCATTATCTAGACTCTAAACAAGCGCTAGATATACAATTAGTAAGAACTTATCTCTTGGAAGTTAAAAGTATGTTTGTTATATTATTTTTTAATCAAACATTTTAATAAAAATTTGTTTTTTTAATTTTAGATATAACCACAGTTCCAGAATTTTTAAATACTTATCCGAATAACCAAACAGCAATTGTTGGTTCACAAGTCGTATTCCAATGTCGGGTGTATAGCACAGTTTATCCAACAGTAAAATGGTTCAAACGCATTGCTACACATGCCACGAATGCAGATTACACTACTGTTAACAGCAGTAATTTTAATACCCATATTGTCAATTATAAAGGTCGAACATATGAGTTACTCTCAACTGCTCAGGAAAAAATCATCAGTGATCATATATATTTAAGTAATTTAGTTATTAATGATGTACGTCTCAAAGATGAAGGTTACTATGCATGTGTCGCGATTAGTTATCGCGGGCAAAGCATTAGGGAAGCCTACTTGCAAGTCAAATACTCTGATCAGGAATATTGGGCAGATTATGACACTGAAGATCTGCAACAATACACAGATCCTAGGGAGTTTTTACTTCTATTTCTAATGCCACTTGGTTTAGCGGTGCTGCCAATTATGGTATGGTTATGCTTTAGGGTGCTTACCAGATGTAAACACAATGATAATAGATTCAAAGAACAACAGTATTTAAGTGTGAAAACTCCAAATAAACAGTGTGTACTGCAGACTTAATTTAGGTATCAGTATTTAGATATTCTATATATTAACTTTAAATATTAAACATAAACAGACTGTATTAAAAATAAGCAACTATATTATTCATAATATAGTTAAAATATTCATTTAATTTTATAGGATAAGCCAAAACTATGTGATGTACTTGTGTATAAACTTAAATGTATCTACATATAATTCAAAATAATAAATACCAAATAAAAATCACTCTATATTTTAATTGTACTTTGTATTTATCTCATATTGCAAATGTTAAGACATTCTGTATAAATTTATGATATACTTACCATATCTGATATACTTCTCAGATTGAATTAGAAAATATCCTATATTTAAAAATATTCTATGTTTATAATTTTATTTAAATTGAAGAAGTAGAAAAAATAGTTAAAATATATTAAAATATAATATCTTGAAAAATATGTTAGTTGTTGTTGTTGTAGCCTGCTAAGAACTGTAAAGCAGATAACATGAGATACATGGGTTAGGATGTGGATGGGTACTGGTTGTGTAAGAGGAAAGTTGATTTTTAAAGGTTGTTGGTGAGTTTGGAAGGGATGGAACTTAAATTGAAGTGAATCGGTTGCATGATGGAGAAACCTGTTCAATTCTAATGGGTGAGTTCATAGGTCACAAACAACCACACAAGAATGTTGTACAGCTTATAATGGCGACAAATTGATATATCTTTTAATATATTTGTTGGAATGTAAATACTTTTGTTATTTCATTTTCAATATTATTATAATATATACAATAATAATAAATATAATAATAATATATAGAAAGAAACTATATGAAAATTGAAATATTCAATCACTCGTATATGTACTACTAAATAATAAAAATTATATATCTGTTGCGACTATTGCCAGGTTCTCATCATCAGTGGTCTTAGGAAATATTCGTATATTTCAATAAATTAACTAAATTTTTGTGTGTCATTCATTCTTTTCTATTCGAAACCCTCTAAATTTTGAAAAAATAGCTTTTTTGTCATTATAAGAAAGCGTTTTAAAATATCTTTTAAAACATTTTTTTGCTTTGGTCAATTGAATTACGTTAAACATGAAAATTGTGTCAATTTTTCTTTATTAGTTTTATAAAATATTTTATATGGCATATAACATGTCAAAATTTTATAAAGTAATTTAAGAAAAAAATTATGATTAATAAAATCAAAATTTTCAGTAGATTTAATCCAATAGTTTTCAAACCATAGACCTGTCCCAAAACGCTGCACTATATTTTTTAGCACGTCTAGTTATTGGTGTGAATACTTCAAATGATATTTGAAGTGTGCCTTAACTTTTATCTAATGCGACAACTTCAAGTACATATCTTTTATTTGCGCATTTGCATAAACATCGCCAATCAGTCGGAGCCTATTGAACCGCCTCTACAGCTGGAGTAACAAGATGTCTAGAAGCGAATCTACATCCGAAAAAATGTCAAACGAAAACGATCATGAAACAAGCCGTTTGGCGGGTGGTACAAGCGTTTGTACAACAACACACGAGTATGAATATTATTATGTACCTAGACGTACGATATATACACATTGTATACATGCTCCCATGCCATTAACTGTAGCTGTGCCAATATTAGAATCTATATCTACTCCAGCAGTAACACCTATTACGACTTCACGCTATCACTTATTTTACAATGTACCGCAGGGTTATGCTGCTGCACATAGTTGCGAGCATGTTCCAATTTCATCAGGTGTAGTACATAACTGCTGTGCTCTTCATAGACGAAACGTTATGACTCAAGGGATGACCTGGCCAAGACAAGTAGAAATGCGTGTTATACCAGAAAATATTTATGAATACGTTTCACCCTGCCGAGAAGGATTCTTGGTGCCCTACGTGCAAGCAGAATCCACTCACAAAACTTCTAAGGAGGAAGAAGAAGAAAAATGTACGCCAACTCCAAAGAAAATACGTTCACCTAATGTTTACCGTGCGGAAGAGGGTTATTTGGTAGAGGAGCCTGATGACTAGTGTACAGAAGAATGACTCTAATGTAGTACAATACAGGAGGCTAAGACAGCTATGGGTAGAATGCTTCAAGGAACACAATAACAGTTGCAAAGCATATTTTTGAATTATCATTTTGTTTTTGTACCAATTTATCGGTTTAAATTAACATTTTTTCAGGTTTTCAATATATTTTTAGTGATCATCATTTAAGTTAAAAACGCATTTTTATTTATGTTAATGAATGTTTCGAACATATTCTCAAAATTTCAATTTAGAAAGACTAAAATGACAAGGTAAGACTGTACTCCATTTGAAAATGGAATATGACAAATAATGGAAAATGATGCGATTTGAGAGAACAATCTTGAAATGTAGATTTCAGTCACTTAAAGAGTAAGATATTTATAGAAGACATAATTATAAGCTAGATCAACAGATTTGAGAGATGAATTTAGTAATGCCACCGGTTCAAAAAGAAGGTACATATTTATAAAAAATATTATAATTATAAGCTAGACCTACCTAGTTGCTAAACAAGTTAACATTAATATTAACTATATTGTCAGTATCTATAAATTCTATTTATAGAATGAAACAATACAAGCTTTTTAAAAGAATATACGGACACTTATGGTAGTGTTTGGTTAAACGATACGTATAACTTAATGATGAACATTTACCTTAGATGAGTTTGAAACGCAAAACTGGGAAAGGGTTAACTTTACATTGATCCTAAATATAATATACCATAAATATTAAGTGTCACAATAAAACGAAACTTTGAATATCGAAATGGGGACTTATCACATAAGATACTGTTGTGCCTGTTTTGCTGTGAAACGCACACCCTATATATCTCCAATGTAAAAACTTATCATCAAAATAAAAAAATTTGATTCATAAAAAACTAATCAGTTGCCATTGATCACTACCGCTGGAGTTCCACCGTTTATAAGAAATAATTCAGACTTTTTCAAGAGAAAGTATATCAGCTTACAGCAATTATATATAAGTCAATATATAGGTTATTGACATCATTACCAAGTGCATAGTGGTTAACATAAAGGATCCTCATACCAATAATTCTTTAAAAAAAATTCATTTGTCGTGGAAAAGATTTGCTGATTTTCTTACTATCATACAACAAAGAGAGTGGTTTCACATTGAAAAGGTGTGAATTTCCTGATTCTACCTATGTAGATGGAATAATTGAGGTGCATCCTGATGTGGGAGTGGAGACTATCTGTTATTTGTGTAAATTGTTTGATTCTACCATAGATGGAATAAGTGAACTACATCCTGAGGAAGGAGTGGAGACTAACTGTTATTTGTGTAAATTGCCTGATTCTACTAGTGTAGATGGAATAAGTGAGCTACATCCTGAGGAATGAGTGGAGACTAACTGTTAGTTATGTAAATGCCCAGGTTCTATCAGTGTAGATGGTATGAGTGAGGTTCATCGTGAGAATGAAATGAACGTTAGCTGTTATCAATTCCAATAATCCACAATTCATAATTCGTAAATAATCATTAACAACTATTTGTATTAATTCATCTAGGTTTGCAAAATGATTATTAATCTTTTAAAAGTTTTTTAAGTTTTCAGTGATATTTGTTTAATTTTTCCTATTGTATATTCTCTGTGAAATGCTTATCAACGTCTGTACTCGTATGTGTGACATTCGAAAGCACACTCTCTTGCCGAGCAATTTCATACGTAATTACTAATTAGATTATTTGTTTATATAGAATTTAAATAAATCTGTTTTAAAAAACTGTGCATGGCTACGATAACAAAAGTAGGGTTCCATACATGTATATATAAGGTAATCAAAATGACTACTAAAATCGTATAATTTTGCATTATATATATATAAAAAATATTTAATATAACGTTTTAAGAAAATGATTATTAACAAGATTGTATCTTTATTGATTAGATTAATTGTTTTAACTACAAAATGAAAATGAATCGCAGAGAAACTATATTATTTTCAATGCCAGTTTATATTAAGTTTAAAAGACATCAATTCTTTAATTTATTGTCCGTCGTCCTTATTTAAAACTGATGAGGATTTGAGGTTTCATAATTATAAGTGGAAAACAAGCTTTACTGCAATATACAATTCTGAATCGATTCTCAATACCTGAATCAATACCTGATACCTGAATCGATATTCATATCCCTATTCATATATATTAGGTTGTTCGGAAAGTAGTTTCGTTTTTTTTTGTGGAAATGAAAGACAGTTTTCGTATAATAAACAAATACTTTTTTTTTTTTTTTTTTTTTTTTTTTTTGGTTACAGTTGTACCTATCGTATTGATTCTGTTTGAACGTGCGTGCTGCCGAAGCAGGTGGATTCGCCGTATCAGTACGGGTACCACTTGGAGACTGTATTATCATCGGATTTTGACTCATGTTTGATCCAGAAAAGTAAAAGGAAGCAAAGCCCTGACGATGGGTTACAAGCGCAATGTCAGTCCTGTAAGCTTTGCACGTAGTGACAGGTCACTTTTAAATAGGCCGCACCTAACCTGGAGAACAGACGCCTTTTGCAGCCGCTCAATATGAGTACCGACGCTACGTTGTGGAATGGCCCAATGTTCCCCTGGGAACGTACTGGATTGATTGATTGATTGAAACAAATACTTTATTAAATTATATATTGACTGTTCTGGTCCAACATCATTTGCCATATTTCTGGTAGAAGCATTATTCCAGGCTCATAAAAAGTATATATGTCACGTTTTATGGTAACTAGTTTCTAAAGTTTTTATTCCATACTTATTTAATGTCAATTTAGATTACTAATATTAGATTACTTAAGACCTTATAAAATCGTTTCCTTAAAAAAGGTAAAAAGATAATGATTTAAATAAAAAGTGAATGTAGAAATATGTTTTCTTCACTTCCAAGATTGACAATTAAAACACTTTAATCATTCACTAATTAGTCAAAGCTAGTAGAGCTGAAGTCGGCGGGATAAATTAATTCTCTGCCAACACAATTATGTGTGATTCCTATTGTAGGATTATCGAATGAAATAAAAAAAAGTGCCTTAGCGTTTTTATGAATATATATAGATCTTAAGGGTACCGGTTTTGACTCCCCTAGAGATAGTCAAGCGAGGCATTATAAATTGAATTATGGAAATATAATATGACAGCATAATAATAAATCAAACCACTTGTGATGTAAGAAGCAAATGTTTAAAAAATCGGAAAAACGATATTACTTAAGCACAGTCGCTTAACTATGAATACTTTATATATATATATAGGTATATAGAGTCTTTGCTACCCAAAGCTATTGAAATTACATTATAACAATTAAAACGATTTTTAGGGAATGAAAATTAGAAAAGCATCTTTAATACATCGGCGGAAGTAAGTAAGTAATATACATATATATAATTTTTATAGAATTATAGTTTATACGAAAGATGCTACGAAACCCTAAAATAAACACACATACAAAAAGCATAACAATATGTGTGAAGCAAATAGTAATATAAACGGGTTACAGCACTTGACGTACTCTTACAGTCGCCGAGCCAGTGCAAGAGCTAATTCAGACGTGTTTAGATCTTGTGGACGTTTGTTTATAGTTTATATTGAAAATAATTAGACAGAAAGCATAAAACAAAACAAACAACTTGAAAAAAATGTAAATTATTTTTAGATATTGCAAAAAAGGCCAATGCAATATTAAATATTAAAATCCAAATTTAAAGTATTTGTGTAATAATTTTATTATAGTTTTATTATAATAAATTAATAAAATGGTTTTCAATATCGATTGTAAATCAAGGCGTGGTACCAAAATATCTGTGATTATACTTGGAGGTGCACTTTTTACAATAATGGTGGCTTATTCAGTATTTGGGGATAACAACGATGAGAAAGGGCTCAAAAATTTACGTATGATTTCCATTGTAAGTATATAAAAGGTGTACCTTAGAAATTATTAGTAGTACCTTAAAATTATGTTAATTTCAAATTATAATTTCTACTCAGAGAATAGCATATATTTAAGTATATTATGTATTACATTTAATTTTCAATAACATGAATTCTTGACATTGTCAAAGACGCTAAGATTAGATAAATGGATATTAAATTTACGTTTGTAAACTAATGAAGAAGATATCGGTGACTTTATATAGTATTTTTATGCTTGATCAGCATAGTAAGGTGAGCATAAGTGAACCATTTTGAGATATTGAGAATTTCTTGACTGAAGATTTTTTTTTGGATAGACTTTTTTCTCTTTGACATAAAATATAAGTGAAAAATCCGAAACTCCCTCTAATACACTTTTTTTTTTGTTTTTTGGACTAAAAAATCATCTCCAAAATTTATGCCATGTTCGGAAAAAACACCCTGTATAAATCTTCCTATAATGAACATAAAAGTCTTAAGCGAATTTAATCAAGTCAAAAAATATTTGTACTACCAATAAATGTAGTACAAATTAATTATAATATTTGAATAGTCACAAAATTACAACAATCCTTGTAATTACAAAGCCATAGATACATTTTGTTGAATACCAATCTTGAAAAGAAAAGCTATTTTTTATATTAAAAAATATATATTAAAAATGTAAATTTATATTGAAATTATAATATGGGCGTGTGCGAGTTCAAGTAAATTGATGGTAAGTAGTAAATTATGTTGGTATGGCAGCGAATATTGGCATTTACCAATATTTCGAGTAGGGTAAAAATTAGATGAAAATTAGATAAATTAGGTATTACCATAACTAAATAAGGTAAATAAGAGCAGTGCAAAAAATTTCAATTTACTTGACCTCAATTTACTCGAACTCGTACAGGGCCTAAATATTATTTGGTAGAAAGTATTTAAAAGTACATTCTCTATGTCAGGGCTGTCCAAAGTGCGACCCGCGGCTAATATTTTTGCGGCCCGCGACATTATTTTAATCTACTACAATTGTGCAAATTTTCTTTTGGTCTTCTGGTAGAACCACATTATTTTATTTTTATGGTATACCAAATAAATTAATTTAAATTGATAAATTAATAAAACTAAACGTATTTAAATAATAAATAAAACGTATTTTTATTTTTGTCGAAAACAACTATATATATATGTATGTATTTGTTTCTTCGGCCCTCCAATCTGTACACTGATTTGTATTGGCCAGTGATAGTGTCTGGTCTGGACAGTTCTGCTCTATATTCTTGATAAAAAAAATTACTTTCTATATGTAAAATTAATAAAAATCAATTGATTATTACGATTAGTTGTTGACAAAATTCAAGGTTTAGAAAACGCGAATCTAATGCATATGTTAGGATAAGGACTAGGAACTTCCTATCGTTACATAATTTATACCAGAATTTTTAGTACTATGATAATGTAAATATCTATATATTTGAAGTAGACAAGAATACGGTATACCTAAGAATAAGCACTTATAAGAACACTAACACTAACTAGATATTATTTAACTCTTAAATGCACATATTTTTCAATTCCCTGGTAAGGGCATAGCTAGAAGCGAATGAGAAGCGGATGAGGCGTATACTTAAAGAATAATGTTTTCTTAAAACTGTCGGCCAAAAAAAGTTATCAAATCGAGAAACTGTTAACACGGCTGTCTGCACATACACATGCCTATATCATTGCTATAACACTTAGCGAGGATAGAACGATGAATGGACAGTCGCCCACTTTGTTTCCCTTGGGTACACACAACGTCGTTGATATTCTATAGCAATGTTCAGTAAATTACGCTCTTAGGAATTTATAGAAGGACTTTTTATTATCGCATATTTCTAAAATTTTTATTCATGAGGGCTTATATATATCTATCCTATAAATAATTATTCAATTGCACAATTGTCTAATTATAAAATATGTTTTGAAAAATAAATATTTTTCATAATGTTATCAACCACTGGTTCGTAAAATATTGTATTTCCGACTTTAAAGATATTTTTTTTTATTGGTAAATAATGGTACCGGCTATTTCAAAAAACACATTAAATATTCTATTGATTCATGTAAAACACATTATATATTAACTGTATCACATTACGAGTACTTTTTGATTAAAAACATTTATACAATGTTTAGCACATTTGCAATATATTAAAAAATATATAAATATATGTTTTCTTTTCAAATATATTTTTGAAGTTGTTCCGTCATGGCGAAAAAAATCCTTCTTCTTTCTATCCGACTGATCCACATATTTTGCATGATTGGCCCGGTGGATTAGGTGCCCTAACACAGGTTGGTTATATTTAACTTGTTGTATAGCAAATAAAATATATATTTAAAGTTTTTATAAACGTTAACACAAAGACTGGTAAATTACAAGCCTACAACTTAGGTAAGAACCTACGTATGCGCTATTATCGTTTATTACCTTCAAATGGAATTTACACACAACAACAAGTGCATGTGCTCAGTTCCGCTGCAGAGCGTTGTATTATGAGTGCTCAGGCAGTTTTAGCAGGTTTTATGCCACCGCTGGAACATAACAATGTACTACCTATAGCCTGGCAACCAGTGCCTGTAAATACAATACCGCGTATGGATGATACGGTAATTTACAAAAATATGTTTTTTTTATTTTATTTTTATAAATAACTTCTGCAAGTCTGTTTTGTAGCTCTTAGCACAGAAGAAACCATGCCAGAAATATGATACAATATTACAAAAACTATACAAGAATCCGCCACCAGAGTTACGTCAACTAAATGAAGAAAATGCCGAACTTTATAAGTTGTTATCAAAAAATACTGGAAAGGTGTGTAGAATAAATTATTAAAAATGTGATTATTGTCACTAATAATTTAATTAATTAAATTATATTCCTAGAATATATCGAGTGTTTTGGATATAGAGCAGTTATACACACTTTTACAAATAGAAACAGAAGCTGGACTTGCTATACCTGATTGGGCGGAAAATATATTTCCAGATCGGCTTGTACCATTAGCAGAACGAAGTTACACTTTCTTCACCGAAACGAATTTAATGAAAAAAGTCAAAGGCGGTGCATTCATTTCCGAAATACATAAAAATATGCTTAGCAAGCATAAAAAGAATTTGAATCCGGATCGAAAAATATTTTTGTATGCGGGTCATGACGTTACGCTAGTCAATGTAATGAATTCTTTAAATATCTTAAGTCAAACTGCAAAATTACCCGAGTATGCCTCAGCCTTGGTATTTGAATTGCACCATAGTTCATTATTTAAAAATGATTTTGAGGTCAAAGTAAGTCTCATCTCAATATTAGTAATGCGTTCTCTGAGTGGCTTAACATTGTGTATTTTACAGATTGTTTATTACTACAATAGTGATGACAAATTTCCCAAAGAATTAAGTATACCCAACTGTGATGCACCTTGTTCACTGACCCAATTCAGTGAATCAATCCATTCTTTACTTTTGGAAAATTATGATGAAACATGTGAGAATCCAGCGGCAGATTGCAAAACTTAATTAGAATTAAAATTATTTATTGTTAACAAAAATATAATTTGTTTGTTTTAAATTAATTAATTTATATTGTTTAAAATGTATTAATTTATATTGTTTTATATATTTTAATTCGTACGGTTGTAAAAATAAATATTTAAATTAAATGTGCTTTAAAAGTTTAATTTTCTAAAAAATTAATATCTAGAACCTTTATCTTCAGCATAAAGAAAGTATATTGGCACTTGGCTACGATCTGTCATGTAAACCATTTCTGTGTGACTGATGAGATGTATTGCCGCAATTCCATAAAACAACATAGGTAGACCTTTAATGAAAAAAAAAGCTTTTTAGAAATAATAATAATCAGTACATGAAATAATGTATATAATGAATCTAATAACATAATAAATTTACTTGTAGATTTCTACACTCGGATCACAAAATTTGATATGTAGTGGGTAGACCATTATTTTCTAAATAAACGGTTCTAAAATTTTCTAAAAAATGTTATTACAATTATAAAACCGTTATGTTTATTTGGGGTTTAAAGAATTAGTGCATACACAATTTATGAACATTTGTTTACTGTGTCAACGGTGACCCCTCAGTTTGAGAAACTAAGTTGAAGATTGGGTACCCAACTCAGTATAGCAAACGATGCCGGGGTATATATCTGTACTTAAAACAGGGATTAGGCGTTAAATTATAGCTGGATAAACTGATACATATTCTCCTCAAAATTCATAAAAGATTTGGCTAACAATTAAGAACGGATATACTAGTAACGAAACGAAACGAACATGGCAAAAAGGTTTCAGGAAAGACCAGGTCTAAGGTCTGTACTACGTCTGTTACTGCTCGTAATAGCGACTGTACTAGGAGATCTTAATATTAAGACTGCTTAGAGACTGAAAAGAATAGAAAATCCGATCATGGGATGAACTATTGAGTGATTATAATGATGTTGATGTTTTGTTTTAGTATCAAAACTACAAAGTGCATATGAAATATTCTAAAAAACAAACCATATATATGTAACTATGTTTGTAGTATTTGTATCACATTGATCTTGAGATCTTGAGACATATGTATATATGTATATATGTATATCAATAATAACTTATATTGTATATCAGTCGTATAAAGGCACTTTGAAAATTGTGCTATATCACAACAAAATAAAAATAACTATATTTTTAGAACTTATTTATAAATTAATAATTAAGTTTACCTAAATTTATAACTTTTAAAAAACGAAAAAATTTGTCTTCTAATCCTAAGTCCTGCACTTCACGTTTACTGCAATGATATTTCATATATGGATAGCAACCGGTGCGTAGTATGTGATAATTTGTGCCAGTATCTAATGTCCAATTAAAGTGTGACATGCCGTGTTGATCGTTCTCCACATCTCTAAACTAAAAAGTAAATAACGAAATGATTAAGTAATATAAATAATAATAGTTTTATTACATCACAAACCTTTACAAAATAAGATGTCCACGGTGGTTCATTACATTGTTTTAAATATGCGGTCAGTACTTCAGATGCTTTTGGTTTTAATAATATTTGCGTTATTCTCATATTATTTATTTATTAATTTTTATAATATTGTTTCATAGCACACATTTCATATTAAAAATATATTTATTATTTTAATTTAAAGAAAAAGTTGTAAACAATAATCAGCTGTTTGGTTGTCAAGGAAATGTCAACAAACTATGTTTTTCTTACATACTGTATATTTGCAAATGCGCGCTGTTACTTACAGTGAGGTTTAATATTACAGGTCGAAGTAACGAACGACACTGTCTTAAATTCATCAATATTTGTTTTTTTGTCGCTTTTATGGAATTATATATATTTAAAATTGACAGATTATGTTGAATTTATTATATTTGTTATCATACATACTTATAATTTTATATGTACAAAATTTTAAATAATGGTAAGCTTAAACTAATAGTATAATAATTAATTGAAATGTATAATTACATTCAGTAATAAATTTTGTTAATTTTGCAAATCACAGTTGAAATAAAATAGTTTGAGAATAAAAGAATTGCAAAATAATTCAAATTATATAAATAATTGTAACTTAAATTATTTCCATAGTTTGATAGCACCATCCCGCGCTGCTGATGCTATATATATTTGTCCTTTATCACTTTTGCACATCAGTAAGTCGGCAATTGCGTCTTGATGACTGGCTGATGGCATGTCTGGGCCAGATCTTGGATTTTCTTCAGCTGACACTCGCAAGGCATTCATGTCAGTATTATTACCAAGCGAAATAATATTTTCCTCTATAACGTGACTGCCATCAATCAACCGTGTACTGAAAATATACAGCATTATTTTTAATTACTGTGATTATGGTGTATATAAGAAGAAATCAAATTACTTATAATTGAATGTAATATCATTTAAATTATCCTTCGGCGATGGCACAACCAATGCTGAGCTTTTGGGGTCACATAAATTCCAGAACCGTATACGTTGATCTGAACTTCCAGTCAGAATAAAAGGCGAATTGTCTACAACACCACTTAAGACACCACATGTTGTTGCCGGATCGTTCTGTATATATACATATATAATAAGAATAATTTAAGACATATGTATAACTTTTTTATATTTACAATATCTTACCATACTAGTGTTGGATAATGGAGGTGCTGGACTAGCCCAGAGTACAGTTTGTCTATGATTTGTTTCTATATTCCAAATCGAAACTTCATTATTAGATTTTGAAGCTGATATTAAGCAGGAAGGCTCTGTAGGATGGCAAGCTACTTTACGTATCCAAGAATCTGAGGGATGTTTTATTTCTGCAATAGCTAATCTAAAACGTAAGTCCCAGCATATATGTTTGCCACCACTGGTACCAGTAGCAAGCCAGGAACCTGTAGAGTCAGCACATATTGTTGTAATCACTCCATGACGTAGTTCATTTTCTAAACGCCAAGCACATTGTTGTATGCGTGTATCCCAAGCTACAATAGCGCCGTATAGTGTGGCATATATAATAATATTAGGTGACGTGTGATCATAGGATACCATATCTACTACAGGGCCATCACTGTGTTCACTGCAAATATTAAAATTTATTAACAAATTGTCTATATAAATTTGTCTGAGTTACTTTTGATTTAAATGGAGTGCTTGTTGTAAGGTCATCTTTGAAGAATTTCTATCGATACGCATTATAAGTAGACTTCCATCCTTTCCACCAACTGCCAATGATTGTCCACCATCACAGGCTGCTAAAGCATATATTGGTGTATTTGCAGAATACACTTGTCGTGACTTGTTTATGGTTTGATTGCCATTTAGTTTGTTACAATCCCACAAACGTACCGTACCATCTATGCTGCCACTAGCAAAAAGCGGACCATGTGGTTTAAGTGCAGCCAGTTTAATAACTGACTCAGAGTGTTCATGTAAATGTGCTATCAGTGTGCCATTCATGCGCCAGTTATTCGGGTAGGGAGAATTTTGTTTACCATAATTGCCTCGCTGTGCAATGGAACTATAGCGCGTTTTGATTTTATTTCGCATTGATTCAAGATCCTTTCGACATTCTGAAGGGCGTTCTAAAGAGCGTGAAGAAAATAGGTATTTCAGTGTTGTAAAAATTATTTTATTAAATTCAGTTACCTTGCCAGTAGTTACGTTCAGGCATTGTATACTCCCCTAAAGATGTTGCCGCACTTAATAAGTTTTGTTGGCCGCCTAATAGTAGCACCCCAGATGCTGGACTTCCAGCTATACCACCGATAGGTGAACCATTTCCATCAGATGCTGGCGATGCTAAAATTAGAGAAATACCATCGGTTATGCCTTTAATTTATGCTTAAACATTTTTGCAATATTTACGTGTTTCTATAGGTAATTTGGATTTTTTTTCTGCTAGCGGATAGTCATGACAATTCACTTTTTTACGACTTATTACAATGCGCCCATTGCCTGAGGCTGGCTCATCAACATCCAGCTGTGACTTATGTTTAAGCTTAAGTAAGAACGGTTTCATAGCAAGCAATATCATTTCCAGTATGTCATTCAAACCTTCAGAGCTCAAACGTCGAAATAGCTAATACGGAACAAAATTTAATTAATAAAAATATAAATATGTGT